TTTTTTCATCTGTGCAATGTTTGGGCTGTTTCAAATTTCAAATCACGTGATAGCATCTCAGTGGGATTTAGATCTATACTTTGACTTGGCCATTCCAGTGTTCATTCTCTCTCCCCCCTCTCTCCTCCCCCCCCCTCTCTTCCCTTTCCTTCCTTTCTTTCTGCTTGACTTTCAATCTTCTGCAAGATAGTATTACATTATTCTCAAATACTTTCTGTTAAAATGAAGAATTCATAGTGGATTTTGTGATGATGAGCTGCCCAGGTCCTGCCTGCAGCCTCAAACATCCTTTATAGTTTGTTATTAGGTTCTTCTGGTGAAAAAGCTATCTTTGGTTCTCACCACATGTGTCTTTTGTTATGATAACCAAATAACTATCTTTGTCTTGTATGTGTCCAGAGCACATTGTTCCATAAATCCTGGTCTTTGCCTACTAAGTGTTTGTGAGCAAACTTTAGTCCTGACCTAATGTTCTTTCTGGACAGTAATGATTTCCTCTATAGCACATCTCACATGTAGATCTAATTTGCTTCTTTCTAATAGTAGTGCAACCATCCTTGCTCTCCTTGACTTCTCAGCAGCATTTGATATCATTCACTATGCTATCTTTTTGGGCTGCAGCTGGACAGCAAAATCTTGCACTGATTTGGCTCCTTTCTCAAAGCCAGTCACAATCAGTGATACTGGGGATTAAGAGACCCAGCCCATGACTGCTCTCTTGGGGTATGGCTCAGGGCTCAGTAGTCTTTCCACTCCTTTTTAACATTCACGTGAAGTTGCTGGGTGAGATCATCCGTCACCATGGGTTGAGGTAGCATCAGTACGCTGATGATTGTCTCCAACCCTAGTGACCCAAGTGATGCTATTGCTGCTCTCTTGCAGTACCTGGAGACTTTGGGGTCTGGGCTGCGAGACAACAGGCTTCGGCTGAACCCTGGCAAGACTGAATTATTTTGGGTGCCTGGAGCCCCAAGATCTGAGATTTGACATCCTTAGTTCTGGTTGGGGTAGCACTATCCTGGACAGATCTGATCTGCAACTTTCCAGTTCTCTTGGACTCATGACTCCTGCTCAAAGAGCAGGTGGCAGTCATAGCTAGAAGAGGCTTAGCACAACTTCAGGTTGTGCAAATATTGCAGTCTTTCCTGGATGCTCAATCATTCAAGTCCCTGTGCTCAATCATTCAAGCCCTAGTCATCTCACATTTGGGCTATTACAACCTGCTCTACATGGAACTACCCATAAAGAGTATTCTGAAGCTACATCTGGTGTATAATGTAGTGGTGCAGCTTTTGGGACTCCCAGTGTTAGATATTGAATGGGATGATGTAGGGACCAATCATTGGCCCCGTACTCAAAGTGGGAAAAACAAGCATGCGTCAGTGACTGACCCAAGGTTGCCCCTGCCTGGATGAAACCCAGGAGGGTCCCATTTGCTCTGCGGCCCAAAATAGACAAGCAAATGGATAAACTTATTGCTCATGGGATTTTGGAGCCAATGGATCATGCCAAGTGGGAAACACTCATAGTTACACCCCCCCCCCGAAACCAGATGGGTCAGTGCACCTGTGCGCTGATTACAAATGTACACTCAATAAAGCGTTACAGCAGAGTGCATACCCCGTGCCAGTTGTGCAACACCTATTGCACTCCCTGGGGTGAGGAAAAATCTTTTCAAAGGTTGATCTGGCTCAGGCATACCAACAGTTGCCCATTGATGATGCCACAGCAGAAGCCCAGACTATTGTCACCCACAGGGGGCATTCAAATGCTGACGGTTACAGTTTGGGGAGCGTGGCCCCATGGCTGTTTCAGAGCCTGATGGAGGGCCTCCTACAGGGCACCGAAGGCATAGTGCCTTACTTTTACGATGTCCTCATATCAGTGAGAGACAAAGAGCAGTTACAACATTTAAGAATAGTATTGAGCCAGTTTTAAGAAGTGGGGTTAAAAATACAGAAGGACAAATGCCAATCGGCTGTTGAGAAAGTTGAGTTTTTGATGTATTTGATTGATAGCTTTGGCATACACCCCACTGACAGCAAGCTGAAGTCAATCCTGGAAGCCCCAATCCCCAATGATAAGACAGAGCTACAAGCGTTCCCGGGGTTACTAAATTTCTACAACATTTTCTTGCCACAGAAGGTGATGACTGCTGAACCTATGAACCAGTTCTTTGACAAAAAAGCAGAATGGAAATGGGGACAAAAAGAAGTGCATTCAAAGAAATAAAAACACTTTTGACATGAGACAGCATGCTTGTTCAATATAATGAAAAACTACCCCTAAGACTAACAATGTGATGCTTCACTTTTTGGAGTAGGGGCCATCCTTAGCCATTGCATGCTGAACGGAAAGGAAGCCACCATTGCATTTTATTCCAAAACATTATCCAAAGCAGAAAGGAACTACAGTCAGCTTGATAAGGAAGCACTGGCTGCAGTTGCTGGAATCAAACGATTCCATGAATATGTATACAGCAGGAGCTTTGAACTAATCACTAATCACATTGCGGGAAACCAATCCGCACTGCACATACTGTCCCCAAGATTGATGAGATGGACAGAATGCCTAGCCGCATACAATTACCAACTGAGCTACAGACCAGGGAAAAACATCGACCATGCGGATGTACTCAGCAGATGCCCATTACTAGAGCCAGTAGAGGACCCAGCACCGGTGACATCCACACTTCTCATAGAAACCCTCACGAGTGGATCAGTCACGGCAGCAGAGATTGTGAGAGCTACCGCAAAAGACGCTGGTGCAAATTTTAAACTGGGTATGGAAGGGATTGCCTGAGGCTATAGTAGAAGACCAAAACGTGCCAACTTGAACCGTCGGGACTGAAGGGGTGCCTGTTGTGGGGTGATAGAGTAATAATCCCTAAAACGTTACTGAAGGACATTCTAGAAATATTACATGAGGGACACCCAGGGATAATCAAGATGAACGCATTGGCTAGAAGTTATGTGTGGTGGCTGGGAATGGATAAGGAAATAGAGATATGGGTCACAACGTGCACACCCTGCCAAGAATCCCGGCCAGCTCCACGCATTGCACCGATACATGAGTGGAAAAGCCCAAAGACACCCTGGTCCCGAATTCATATCGACTTTGCAGGACCATGTCAGGGGCACACCTTCCTTATCATAGTAGATGCCTATTCCAAATGGTTAAAGGTCAACATTATGACATCGACCATGACAGAAACGATCATCAGAGTATTGAGAAAATTATTTGCAACACACAGGTTGCCAGATGCGGTTGTGTCAGATAATGGTCCCCAGTTCACCGGCAATCAATTTGAGATATTTCTGGCAATCCAAGGGATAAGGCATGCACACCCTATGGATGTCCGCAAAAATAATACAGATCATAGGCCCTCAATCATACCGTATGCTGCTGTCACTTCTGCCCTTTGGAACATTGTGTGGCCCATAGTGAGGTCAGCTTTCACCGTCCTGTCTTTCCATAAGTGCTTGAAGATATGGTTCTGCCAGTTCACCTGGGGCTCCAATATGGGAACTTCATACTGGAGGTGGTTGATAGATGAACAAAATATCCCACCTCCCCCCTTGCTTATACTACTACTTTCCTCCATGTCTTTTAATTTTTATTTTTATAGTATTTTATTCTTTGCTATATACATGTTTTTGTATAGTTTTATTCTTTTTAACCTTGTAAGCCTCATAGTGCAATGGTCAGCAAACAAATTTAATAAATAATAGTAATGTTAGGTATAACATTGATACCCAACAAGGTTTGGGTGGATAAATATATAAACTAAGGTATCATAGTTTAAGTGTTTGTAACTTTAAGCACCACACTGCATGTAATTAGCCAATTAAGGGTGCGGTTAGAAACTGCAATAAGAGGAAGCAGGAGAAAGCTGGAAAGCCTGCTTCTTACTGTCTTACTGCTTACTGTTTTACTGCCACTGTCTACTGTTTGATCGTCCTACTGAATATCCAGCGTTATCCTCTGGAGAAAGGCATCGGAGGAGGAGAAGATATCTTTATCGGCTGATAAAGATATAGTAAGGACTATTATCTGGACTGAGTTAGTGAGTCTTACTGAATGGATATATTGTGGATGACATACGGACTGATTGACAATGCTTAAACTCTAGCTGGATTAAAAACTATTTAAACTACAAACAGTGTTTGTGTTCAGTGTGTGTATACTCTAAAACCCTTCCTCTCTCATTTGGCTGCCTGGCTTGACTGCTGCTGCATACTCTGCTAGGGGTTTATCCCCAAACACTAACAAGTACACTCATGTACTTTGACATCAATCACACCAAGAGGCTCTATGTCATACAATTAAATTCTGGGGTTCTTCGAAACTTCTTTCAGCATCTTGAATTCTGTTTCTGGCTGAACTTGTGGAAACAGCCTGGTCTGGCTAAGTTGGCAGTTATTTATCTTATTCTAATCCCTTCAGTTTATCACTACAAGGTCTTATATACTTAATAATGTCTCCCGTTAATTTTATGCACACCTTTTATATATATATATATATATATTTGTTTTCTTAAGTTTTCGCGGGTACTTACATGTATGGTGTTCGGCTTGGTTCGGGTATTTTCCCACGTCATTGTAGTTCTTTTAAAGTTGTAGCAACGTTTCAGCAGAATCTCATCTGCCATCATCAGGCTTCTGTATTGTGTCCGTCTGTAGGTCAGACTTTTACAGTGGTTTCAGATTTAAATTTGGGGCAGCCTATTGCTGTGCCAGAATGGTTTTTTCTTCATCCTGATTGGTTGGGAGTCTATATATATACATATATATAATATATATACATATATATAATATATATACATATATATATATATATATATATGTATGTATGTATTTGTACAACAATGTAAAACTAAATATTTTTTGTAATCTGTGATAGTCTGTAACCCTCTTAATTTTCTAATCATTTAATCCTTTTAATAAATTAAGTATAATTCTAAATATAATAGCTTATATAGTAAATTATATAGCAGTTATTTAAAAGCTGTTCCACCTACAGATCTTCTGGACAGTAAAATCGTTTGGTGATCTTTTAAAATCCCTTTCCAGACACATAAGCATCTATAACCTTCTTTATGTTATAAATGTGATGATACCGTATACTTCAGTAATGAAGAGCAAATCAAACAGAATCTCTGGGGTTTAAATAGGAGAGCCTCCTCCCTGTCCTCTCCAATTATTTTCTAACCATTTGCCATTTTTAACTCTTACTTTCTCTACATGTAAAATTTGAATTGATATTGATTTAACTTATGCATTGAACTACAAAATGTAAATGAGGTTTGATATTTGTGGTAGGATATCCCCTTTATCAATATTGTTGAAGTGAAAATGTATATGGAAATCTGTTGAAAAAGTTAAAAATAAATAAATAGGGTGTACTTACTTTTTGCATGACTATTTTGAGATTTTTTATGATAAATACACAAAGAAATATATTAAAAGGAACAATTTGTATAAGCTTTATTTATGCCTATATAGTATAAATTTGAGTGGATGTGGTCTTAAGTGAACAAATACTCTTAGTATAACATTCTGGTTTTTTTAAAAATAGAAATTAGTTTTTATTCCTAAATAGAAAGTTCATTTTCAACAAATTCAGATGGTCACAAAAGTCCCATTGATCTACTTGCTGTTAGTAATCTGCTGTATATATTGTAATTCTTTATGTTCTTTGCTGATCAGTATTGTGGTCCACGTATCTTTTTCTCTTTTCCTCTTCTTTAAAATACTTTTAAATGCAAGGGCCAAGGTGAATATTATTTGCATAAGTCCCAACTTCTATACTGTTGAATGTAGTCCTTTAATATTCATAAAGCTAGAAATCAACCTATAACAGTTTTGATAAATCATCCTTCCCTCCCCTCCATTTTTTATAGCCTGTGGTCATCCAAACGTATGGTTTGAAATATGTAGTGTTCTCATTTTTACTACAGGTTGCCAAACATTCCAGATTAGACTGCAAATTCATAAACTCATGATTTATGTGATTTTGCAAAGGTTTTTTATGCAAGAGGATTCAGGGAACTGAGTATCTCTAGTCTTCATGCACTTCAAAGTGTTCTGTAATAAATTCATTCTACTACATGGTGCATAAAAAGGCTTTTTCTAGCCCTCTGTCTCTCGCTCTCACTAAGAATTCACCTACCATAAATTCACTATAAACAATAAACATTCTATTTTACTAAGTACAGGTAATCCTCGGCTTACAACAGTTCATTTAGTGACCATTCAAAATTACAATGGCACTGAAAAAAGTGACTTAAGACCATTTTCACCCTTATGACCGTTGCAGCATCCCTCTGATCATGTGATTTCTATTCAGATACTTGACAACTGGCTCATATTTATGATGGTTGCAGTGTCCCAGGGTCACTGTGATTCACCTTTTGTGACCTTCCGACAAAGTCAACGGGGGAGCCCGATTTACTTAATAACGGTGTTACTAACTTAACAACTGCAGTGATTCGCTTAACAAATGTAGCAAGAAAAGTCATAAAAAGGAGCAAAACTCGCTTAACAAATTTCTCACTTAGCAACATAAATTCTGGGCTCAGTTGTGATTGTGAGGACTACCTGCACTTAGTTTTCCATTACCTCCCTTATGTAAATCCAAATCAGTATAGTAAATCTACTTCTATTTGTTTTAATGTTTCGTGTAAATTTGCTCTACTTCCTTATAGGTTTTCAGAACAGACTCTTGCTACTTTTCCCCCTTATCAATAAATTATGTTTCATACAAGAAAGGTATAGTGTCTGTTTTATTTTAATTTAGTTGGATATTTTCGTAATATATTCAGCATTCCTCCTTTCATCCTTGTACTACAAATGGAAGACGAAAAAGATGGCAGAGCGTATAAAACCTAAATAGTTAAAGCTATTGTATTTCCTATCATACCATGTATCTCCTACCTCATCTGGATTAACTACTCAGTATAGCAATTAAAACAAAAACTTCTTGAAAGTTGGCATACAGAACAGTCCATATTTTTTAATTCAAAATTTTTAAAATACATAGTCATTAATGTGATGATTAATTCCTTGTTTAAAACTAAAATAATTTAGTACTATTGTAAAATATTGTATAACATTACCTGTTTGAATTTATTTCAAATCATGCATAAGAAGTAAATTCCTTGGCATTACAGAGATCATGAAAATGAATTATTCCAAATGTGAGGTACGATATCCTGTTTGCCACATCGTGAGGAGAATGCTATTATGTGTTTTAAGTCATTGAAAGCTTTCTAATGCCATGTATATTAATGTTTCAACTCATGTTATGAAACTTTTTTATTTTAAAAAATTGGTTTTACTTATATGTCCAATGTGGAGTTTATGAAAGGAATAAATTTATTTGATGTGATGCTTGTCAGATTGAGCCCTTTAATGCAGATCTTTATAATGCTAAGTTTCTCATGCATTAATTATTTTAAAAACACTCTAAAACAGTAAATAGAGATCTTTTACAACAGCTTTTAAATGTAGAATTACATAAGCAAATGGACATAAAAAAAACACCCATCAGTCACTAAGGATGTGATAACTTATTTGTACAACAGTCTGTATAACTTTGTCATGTTGTGTCCAGGACCTTTATGCTATCATCTCCCTTCTCTGTTTGGCTGATTTCATTTTTAATTTTTCTATTAACCATATTAAATTGGAAAATCTACATGCTGGAAAGGAGGAGTTCCTTCTCATCAAATGTCTGTGGTGGTTTTTTTAAAAATCAAAAACAAAAAACAAAATATTCATATTGTGAATAGACAAATCCTTTTGTAATGCAATGAAACTACTTACTCAGAGGAAGTGCTTGAAGCCACAAAAAGGAACTTTGTGAAGATTTACGAACAGTGTTGTGCCGATCTTTGATTACTGACTAGTTTCAGTTTTCAAGGAATCAAAAAGTATTACTTTGGTATTCTTCATGTTTACAGAAAGCGCATAGGATTATTTTGCATTACAATTTGTATATATGTTCTTCAAATTGTCCCCTAATAGTCCAGATGAAAACTACAAAACAGAACATCTGTAAAATGAAATCTCACACAATCACCATTAAAAAATTATATTCCAAAGCAACTAAAATCAAGGATGATTATACATTCATTTTCATTTTCAAATTCTTACAATTTGACTGCAAACAGAAACATTTTAACATGGCATTGAAAATAATGCACCAGTCTTGGCATTCCAAAATCATCAAAAATACTGTTTTACATGAACAAGAAAACAAGAACACTTAACCTTAAAAAAACTGCAAGGGGATGTGAAGTGATGGGAAGAAGGGTGAAGATGCTGGATCACAGGTGATTTTTTTCCCCATCCCTTTCTGTTGAAAGAAAAACTACTGGAAATAAACAATTGATTACACAGATCATATCAAAGAAATCACATTGGATTTTTGGATAATGGTGTGTGTATTTCCAAGTTGAGATGTGCTGCACAAAATGTGATGTGCTAGGATGAATGTATTTGAAACATACATTTGGAAGAAATCAGCCAGAGCCAGGAGTGATGCACTACCCCCATGACCAGTGCCTTTTCTGTCCCATGTCCAAGCCAGAATACCAACTGAAAGTCATCCACATAACCCAGAGTCCATTGAAATAGCTTGTGGAATTAATTTCTCCACAACCATCCCTAAAAGGGTTGGGTCTGGATAAAAATTGCTCAGTATGGTGAGATCCAGAAATGGCTTCTTGAGGAAGAGTGAACCGACGCCTCCTTAAGAGGAGGAGAATTAAAGCCCAACTATATGTTACACAGACACATACATGCACAAAGTCTCAGCCAACCAGGACAGGCCTGGATCTAATGGGCGGGGGGCTGATCTCACAATCATAAAAACCTATCCACTTCCTCAGGCCCAACAGGCTCAAACCATTCCCAGATAACAGAGTAAGACTGCCTCAGGCAACTACACAGAACCTGAATCAAGCCTGTCATATAACTGGAAATGAATTTGAACATTCATACGTTGCACAGCTATGTTGCTCAATCTAGAAGGTCCCCCTGCCTAGAAGGGTTTGAAACATGGCCATTGAATGGCTGGCTGGATGCAATAAGGATGGAGAGATAATGTCACTTTGCCACTCTTACCACCACAAGTAGGTCCTAATAGTTCATATTTATTTTTGGTTGAGTTTATCCTTCATCAACATAAGCAACACTCTAGACATCTCCCATTTCATTTCCTTCAGTTCTTCCATAAAACAGAGAATGATGGGGTCCATGGGAAGGGTGAGGATGCAAGGTGCAATCCAATCCAAGCCTCATCTGCATTCCAAACAACAACCAAAGCCTCTATTGGACCATGCAGCAGATTCTTTAAAAAAAATCTTCCAGCTCCCTCTGGATCCCATTTGGGTCTGTTAGTCACCAGAGGTAGACCAATTTAATGTGCTAGAGATAACCAACCTAATCATAAGAGATGGATAGGTTTCCCATCAATCAAATTATAAATGCAGAGTGGAGAAATATGGTGATAATGTGGGACTTCAACTCCTCAGACCAATTCAGCCAACTTTCCTAAAGTTCTGTAATGGCCTTACTGTTTCATTTTCAGAAAGGTGAAACAGGAAGGATTGGTTTTCCTACATTTGATCTAAATAGTAGAGAAGAGCTGATTCAAGAGGAAAAAGTAGAAGAAGCTTTGGAAGGAGTAACCCTGTAATTTTGGAATTCAAAATACTACTGAAAGAGAAATTAGAGAATTGATGTGTATGCACACTAGATTTCAAAAAAGGTCATTCCAACAAGCATAGAGAAACACTAGAGAGAATCCCATGGATAGAAATTCTCAGGAATAAGATGTGCAGTACTGTTGGCAGTATTTTTAAATAGGATACCAAAGATACGTCTTCATACACTCGGAAATGAAGAATGGAAAGCAGTTTGGAAACTGTTACTTATAAAATACCATGTTTCTCATATAATAAGGCCGGGTCTTATTTTTTTTTTGAGCCCTGAAAAAACGGCTAGGCTGTCTTTTCGGGGGTGACTTAATTCCCCCCCCCCTTGCATTTTAGGGCGGGCAGCGACGCCTTGGATGTTGACCTCGGCGTTGGTGGGGCACTTTGTATCAGGGTCAACGCAGGCAGCACCATATCCGGGTGTGCAACAAAAGTACTTCCTAACAGCAAGGCCCCCCCCACCATTTCCCCCCCATTTCGCATGTTTTAATATAGGCCTTAATTTGGGGGAGGGGCTTAATTTCATTTCATGCCTATAAAACATGCTGGGACTTCCTATTGGGGGAGGCTGTATTGTTGGAGAAACAGGGTAGAACATATGTGCAGGAAATGAAAAATGGGTTTAATCAGCTATAATAACTAAAGCTCAAAACGAACTTAAACTAATAAGGGACGCTAAAAACAACCCAAACTGGAAAAAATGTCTGTGTGTGTAAATAATAAAAAAGGAGTGTTGTCTAATTCAGTCTGATTCATGAGAACTGGATGTTAAATTTTTGTATATATTATGGCTAAACCAAACTTTCATATTTTTCTGCTCTGCCTGCCAGGGAAGGAAAGCCTAAAGTGTATCTAATAATAATTGGGCTTACACATGTAAAGGCCCAGGCTTAACAGGAACATATGCGTGACTTTTCAGATAGTTTGCCCAGGCAGAGCATAAAAAAATAGGTATTTATAGTTTAGTTTGAAAATAAAAGGACTTAAGCATATAATGAATAATTTAACTTTTATTGATTTCTTCTTAATAAAACTAGATGTGTGCAATTGCAGTTTATGGTTGAATAAATCGTAACTAAATTGTATACATATAGTATGCACCTACTATATACCTAATCAATTCAATGTCAGTCTGGGGACAAAACCAGAGGTGGTATTCAGCAGGTTCTGACCAGTCCTGGAGAACTGGTAGTGGAAATTTTGAGTAGTTCAGAGAACCAGCAAATACCACCTCTCATTGGAGATTTTACAGTACCCTTCCCCTGCCATGCCCACCAAGCCACGTCCACAGAACCGGTAGTAAAAAAAATTTGAATCCCACCACTGGACAAAACTATTATACATGAAATTCTAACTAAGGGCTCTGGCCAGTAATTTTAAGCTTGCATCTGGTGTCTTTTAATTTAAATTATTTTCATGATCTATGTACCATCAAAATTAGAAATGTGAGGAAGTTAAATGAAAAAAATTTTCTAAACACTTATAATTTCACCATTTACACTCAAGCTATTTTTCCACATGTCTTCAAATTTTCTAGCCTTTCATTATCAAGAAATGCCACTTAGTTAAAAGGGAATCTATATATGAAAAGATTTTTTTTCTTTTAGTCTTTCATTATAAAACTATTATAATATATGTATAAAATTTAATGTATTTATTATATTCTTTAACCAATATTACGAATAAAGAAAAAATGGCCACAGCAAACCCATTATTTTTTTTAAAAAAATCACAAAACAGTTGAAGAACATACCTTGTGCAGTTGTATGACTCAGCAAAGGTATTTGGTAACCAAGACTGAATGAAGACTTAAGATTTTTTAAAAAGTAATGAGTGTAACATTTAACTATATGGTTCTCAACTTTGGAAGTAATTGAATAGAGCAGAATAGACATCATATAAGGCAGGGGTCCCCAACCGCCGGTCCGCGGACCGGTACCGGGCCGCGGAACAAGCCTTACCGGGCCGCTGGTTGCTGGGCGCCGCCATCTTTTTTTTTGGAAAGCTCACCGGAAGCGCTGTTTCGTCATAAAAAGATGGCGGCGCCCAGTTGACGCCGGTACCGGGCCGCGGCGCCCAGCTGATGTCGGAACCGGGCCGCGGCGTCGAAAAGGTTGGGGATCCCTGATATAAGGGATACTGAAGTTTCAACCGCTCTTGAACCACTAGGACCCCTGAAGATTAGAATGTATAAATATAGAGTAGAGGACTTGTGACAGTCTAACATTTGCAGATAATATTCAAGTGATTAATATTCAAGTAATTCTGATAATAAATTATCCTAATTCATTCCTTTGCCATTAATTTCTCCTCCACAAGAATTAATTGTCCTAAATTAGAAAAGCCAAGACTATATAATTCATTCATACAAGTTTGGTGTCAATGACACTTGTAGTTATCTGATAGTAGCAGAGGTAACAGTCCCTGATTCTGAGTTCTGACCCCGAGTCAAGCCTGAGATAAAATGCTTGGAACATTTGCTTCGTCTTAAAACTGCATTAGGGGCACATTTTGGGGAACTGAATCCTAACGAAGGGTTTTATCAAGGTGGTAAGAATTTCCTAAATCTAAACATATGTTTGGTTTGGGTAATTGATTTTAGTAGGACAAATCCAAACTGACTTCAGCAGTTCTCTAAATAAAATAAAAAAATGTTTGAAACTAATGCCAAAAGCAGTAAGACCTTTAAAATGTTATATTCAAGAGCTGCATGTTTTTAATTTGTTTTGGTTTTGGATATAATCCCTATTAATTTCGCCCAATATTACTATGAGACAATATAGTATCTGTCTCTATCTATTGATATCTGTCTCTAGATATTCAACTAAGAACAAATACTGTACAGAAAATAGTTCTGTAGAATAGAGAATACAGAGAACTCAGTCAATAGATGTGTTCCTTAAGCTCAACCTAAAATGAATGAAGTTTTATTTCTCTGTGTTAAACTGGATATTTGTTTGTATTCAAGAAAGCCTGCTGAGTTTTCACTTTTCTTCTTTTTTGAGTCAGTGGCATAGCTTTCCTTGGATAAAGAATGAAGAAGTTATTAGTTATAATCACAACAAAAGTCTGGTATATTTCAGTGTCACATGCTGCATCAGTAACAATAAATCAGTTCTTTAGAGAAATTCAGCTGCCAATGTACCCTGCTTTCTTTGTCTTTTCCATTAGGACAACAATATTGTACTGATGATAATGGAATGACCTGAGATTCAAGTCAAAGTCAGAATGTATGTATATTGATGTTTTGGTATTCTGTGCTGTTCAGCAGGACATAAAGCAGAGAATCCATTAACAATAGCAGAACCATGAACTTCCAGGCTGGTATAAACAGGCTTATATTCCATTTTTAAAGGAGGTAATGCAGAATCTTATATTTATGGTCTTTCTGTCTTCTAAAAGTTCACTCTACTAGAAGTAATTAGGGTACTTTTTATTTAGTTATGAAGAAATTGAATTAAGAGTTTATGAAAACATGCTATTTTGGCTGAGGCTGGATAAAGGTGAGAAAATCCAGGTATCTCATGAACTAACACACTTAACCAAAGGATATTTATTGTTGCTACTGAAATTGATCCAAGATGACCTAATTGCTGAAATGCCTAAAAGGGAAGATGTCTATATTATAACTTTGGAACTTATATCTCAGTGCAATATAATTTTATTTAAAGTTTTAAAAACAATAGTAAAGTAATACAAACTGAAATTAAAAAAGGGAAAAAGAAAAAGTGGAAATAAAAGAAAAAGCTAGAAGAAAAAGAAAAAATAGAAACAAAAGAAGATATAAAGAAATGGCTTCCAATCTTCTTTATAATTGTACATGAAGTACAATTGTAAATTTACCCCCTTCTCTAAAATTACAACACCTCTTTCTCTTTTATGTGCATTTATTAAAATTTTAAGATGAAAGGTTAAAACTAACCAGAATTACTATTTATAATAAAAAAAGAAGAGAAAAGGAAGAAGAAAAGAGAAAAACAGTAAAAGTAATTATATTTTTATATTTTATATTTCCTTATAAAGGAAATATAAAGAATAACTTCCAATTTTCTTTTCCTGCACTAAAGTAAGAAGTTAATTAACATTTTTATTTATTATAAATGTAAATTAATCTCTTATAGTTACAGGATTGTTTATATTTTTTTACAACCTATTTTTCTCTAATCAAAACCATATACCATTTTTTTTCAATTTCATACAAAAAATCAATAAAGACTTTCCAATCAGCATTAAACTTAGTCAATTTTTGTCTTTTAATTAAAGCCATCAACTTAGCCATCTCAATCATCCTGACATCCAATCCTTTATTCTGGATAAATTCTTATAAGCAAGGATCAGTCCCAAAAGAAAAGTCTCTCCATAAGCCTAATATGTCAAATAAAAATGATGACATTTGACAGCTTACCTTGAGTGGTTTAAATATTTTTCTCACAGGTTTCATACAACTAATCTACCATTTTATCGGTCAATAAATGTTTTGACTTTAGGTGAGAATTAATAGCCAAACAAAACATTCATTTTTTAGATCCTGTTGAAATAAATTATTCATCTAAATATTTATGAATCAAATATTTTATATCTTTCTTCCTAATATGAGTCTCCTGTAGGCAAAAATTTTATATCTTGTTTCAATTTTTTTAAGTAATAGGATTTTTTTTCTTTTTGGGGGAGTATTTGCTCTATTTATATTCCATATAAGATATTTATAATCTATAGTCAAACCAAGAGTTTAGAAAATCAGTATTAGTTGTTCCATTCAATGCCATCTTTTTGTGTGTCCTTTCACATCTGCTGTAATTATTCTGAAATCTCCACTGAAAGCTGTGTTTGCTCTTCTTCCAATTCTCTTTTATATTTTTTCAAAAAAATTGCCCTTTGAAAGGGCAAAATTCTACTGTTTAAAAGTAAATATCATCACTTCTAATGTATCCCAGCAAAACAATCTCTCTCTGATTTAATTTTTCAATCAAAAATGGTAGTCCTTGACTTACAACTAATAATTTAGCAAGTATTCAAAGTTACAATGATGTTGTAAAAGTGACTTTCAGCTGGTCTTTGCACTTACAACCATCACAGTATCCTTCCCCTCACAGTCACATGATCAAAATTCAGACATTTGGCAAGTGACAAGTATTTACAATGGTTGCAGAATCCCAAGGTCATCTGATCACCCATTTGCAACCTCCCTAACTGGCATTTGACAAGCAAAATCAATGGAAAAAGCCAAGTTTGCTTAATGACTACATGATTCAGTCAACAGCTTCAGTGATTCACTTAACAGCTGTGACAAAAAGGTCATAAAATTGGACATGAATTATTTACCAGCCACCTTGCTTAACAATGGAAATTCTGATCCTAGTTGTGGTTGCAAGTCGAGAACTACCTGTATTTCCTTCTAAGCTGAGGTCTGATAAGAATTTATTTTAGATTAACTATATCTGCACTTTCAATCTTGCATTAAAATGGTACTGCAGAACTCGATCTCTTGTCTTCACGAAATGCACCAAAACATCTCTAGGAACATTCTTTGTTCTTGCATAGTGTGAATTTATTGTGTAATTTATCAATTATCTGCCTCAGTATCATTTTCCTTCAAATCTAAAACACTAGTCAAAACACGAATCAAGCTTGTATAATTAATTCTCTAATACTTTCATCAGAGCTTTCTGAAATAATTCTAAATCTCAAACAAAATTCTTTCTTTCTCAATTCCAGTAGAGCCAAATTATCCAATTCTCTTTCCAATTGTGTGTACCAATGACCTGTTTTACTCTTCCAAGTTTGCCCTCTTGTAATTAACTTGTTTTACATATCCAGATATTTGCCTTAATTTTTTTCCAAATGTGCCAATTATTTTCTTTTCAAAAGATATAAATTTAGCCTCAAGTGATTGAAATATGTTTCTCAATTGATCAAATATTGTCTGAGGTAAGTCCAATGGAACTGACTACTTTCTCTGACTGGTCAAGAGTCCTATTATAGAAGAACACAAGATAACAAGAAGCAATGCTCCAATTTTCTTCATTTTCCCTTTTATTTCTTTCAAGAGGGGAAACAGGACAACGCAGCCTGTATCTAAGCAGCAACTGATCACTGACATTGACAGTACTTTGTGCTCAGATGTAGGGTTGAAAGAATTAGCAATGACTAGCTGCAGATTTCCTGAATTTAACCATATATCCTTGAATATACTAACTTCTTTAAAAAAATGAAATAGCAGAATGCCCTGGAAAAAATATTACATGAGTCTTGAATTGGCACCAGAAGGAATTGGTGATAGGAAAACAAATTGCAAATTAAATCATATTTCATTTGAACAAGCAATAGAAATACTTAATTGTAGTTTTGCAATGTACTATTCTATTGTTATAATAATACTTTGATTTATTTATTTATTTATTTATTAGAGTTTGTCAAACAAAAATGAGAACAAAAATAAAAGAATAAAAATACAATGACAGGGACGATAGGCATGTTAGTGCACTTATGCATGCTTCCTCTACTAACCATTTAAGTATGATGTAAGGTCCACAAAAGTCCATTTGTGACTGAAACTGAAAATTTGCAGCTGAAACCACTGAATCAGATAGAGCAGAGCGTTCCAGACTTTGACAACGTTATTACAGAAATAATTATATTTTTAATATTATTTTGATTGAAATATTTTTATAATATTTTTTATAAAATATAAAAAAATATATTTATAATTATAAGGACCATTAAGTTCTGAAATGTTACAAATGCACAATGAAATATATTTGAATTAATTTTAAGCTAGAAAAAAGTGAAAAGGGGTACTTTAGAAGATATTATATACGGGAGTCTGTGGTTAAATTGGGAGAAGACTAAAAGGCAATGTTATTTGAAAATTCCAGTCTGGCTATCGACTATTGAAGCTTTTTCTTATCCTATAATATACAAAAAGGAACAAACAGTTAGATATGGTGAAATACTGAATGAAAAGGGTGATCTTAAATCTATGCAAAAATTAGAAGAACAAGGTATAAAGATGAATTGGTTTTCATATGCGCAAATACATTCAAGGTATGATAAAGATGCTAAAACAGAAGGTTTCTATGATAAATTGGCTGATTTAGATAAGATTTTAACAGGTACTGATGAAAAGGTGATTTAAAAATTGTATGGATATCTATTAGAAATTAAACTAGAAGAAGAACAAGTTAAAGAAACAATGATTGCTTAGGGGAAGAATTTTGGATATGGGATTGATTTAGAGAAATGGCAAAAATTGTGGTCTCAAAATTATAAAATGACATTGTCAACAGCATATAAAGAAAATTTGTGTAAGATGTTTTACAGGTGGCATTTCCCCCAAACAAGAATAGCAAGAATGTTCAAGAATAAATCCAAAAAATGTTGGAAATGTCATCAGGTACCTGGCTCATATTACCATATGTGGTGGACTTGTGCAGATGCCAAAAAATATTGGACTAAAATCCACACATGGTTGGAAAAAATGACAAAAAAGCATATAGACTTGAAACCAGAGATATTTTTACTGGGAATTTTACCTGAAATATATAGCAAAGAATTGAAATACCTGATTGTAAATGTATTAACAGCGGCCAGGATTGTATTTGCCAAAAACTGGAAAAATGAGAAAATACCATCACAGGAGGAAATTATTAAGAAAATATTGGAATGTGCTGAAATGAGTAGATTGACATTTGAAATCAGAGAACAAGATGATACGCAATTTTATAAAATTTGGGATCTATTCTATCAATGGTTAGACAATAAAACATGGTAATGAAATATGTAGATTTTTAGAACATAATGAATATATAAAAATGTACTTTTTATTATATCTACAAAATGATTGTAGGATAGATCTGAGATGATAATATGAACTGTCACAAAACAAATTAAATAAAATATGGATTATCTTGTAAAACATGAATGAATAATAGTATAGTCAAATGATTGATTAATAATGATATTAATGTATTTAGGAATATTTGATTGACAATATGTATGTAAGAATATATACAATGTAATTGTAATTGAAGACTATGAAGTGGAAGCACAAAACAATTTGTAAACCAACCGACACACTGTATGTATATATATATATGGAAGATGGCTTGATGTTTTTATGTTTTGTTTGTCTATGTTTGTCTTAAAAAACAATAAAACTTTATAAAAAAAGAAAAAGAAAAAGTGGAAAGGAAAAGCTGAGAATCACTAACTTAATATTGACTACTATTACTGAGTTCACAGCATTATATCAAGAAATGAATACTTTCTAACAGCATTTGAAAAAGCATTCAACACTATTGTGGCTACAGACTAATCTGAGGTAGGCTAGTAAAATGTTTTTGTCACAGCATCATCATGTCACAGCATCGTCTTCGCTAAACTGGGCATCAGTGTGGCCAGTGCATGACACATCCGGCCTACGGGCTGTGAATTTGACAGCCCTGCCTTAGTGGCTTCTGTTGCTTTTCTGAAAGAATGTTCATGAAAATTATCTTTTTTTTTTACCTGAAATGTTTTTGCTGCTTATATGAATCGTTGTATTCTAAGAATTTACAGATATTATTAGCTAACTATCAGAGAGGTCAAAATCAGAATTGTTGTAATTATATTCCCCTTCTATTCTTTCATATTCTAGTAATTGATATTCTTTATTTGTTACTTCTTATTCCCTCCTCTTCTAACATTCATGAGAAATAAGAAATGACCCCAAATGACCTCAAAAGAACAGGTCATAATATTCTTATATTTATTTCTAATGGTTCATGTTTACTGTTTCAGCCAAGTATCTCCAGGTCACATTTTGCTAAAAGAGCACTGCAAAAGCACAATAAACAGAAACCAACGAGTTTCCTTCCATAATATATTCCAGTCAGTTTTGGGGCATAATTTCAGTCTTCCAAAGATGATTATGTACCACTGGATTTTGTTGTTGAAGTATATATAAAGACCTTGTACCCCTCCATTTTTTTCCACCACAAATCCCAGAATCCTTCACCATTGATCATGTTGGCTGAGGTTGCTGAGATTTCAGTAATATTTCAAATGAGCCAGAAATGAGGAGGGTTTGTAGAGAAAAGCTAAGCTCAGAGATTAATTGGAAAAGAAAATGCTAGATCTGGTTAAGGCATCAGCTTAGAAAGCAGGAGACTGAGAGTTGTAGTATTTCTTAGCCATAAAAGGAAGGTAGATGAAAGACCAACTCACCACACAGAGTTGTTGATGTCGGGAAAATAGGAGGGGGAAGGTGAACTGAATCTGTTTGCGGCCTTGAGTTGTTTTTAAAAATAATAAAAGTGGCGTATAAATAAATAAATAATTGCTCTTTTGAGGGAAACTCAAACCCCTCAAGTTTTCCCCTTCCTATTTCAATTACAGCTAGTGGAAAGTATGTAAAGATTTGGTTTTTAATTTAAAAAGAGGAGGATTTTTAAAAAACTTGTAACTCCAAAACTTTTTTTGTAATGTATAATAATTTGTAATTTTATAATGTACATTCTTTGTAATGTTCAGAAATGGATCCTCTCCCCACACCCCCAATAACCACTTTAGCAAAAAGGCTTACAGGAAGATTGATTTTCCAGCCTTCCAGTCTTAACTAGCTTTCCCCTATCTTTCAATCTCCATTGTTCCTAGATAATTATTCATACAGGTTGGGAAAAATGGAGAATACCCCATGTAAGTAAAGATATGGGGGAAATAACATATCAATTGCTCTGCCTGTATCTTCATATATTTCACAATTATTCTGTATTTTTACCAGAATCCTTCTGCTTCCAGCCAACCTAAGTGAGGTTATCATCAACATGATTGTATGCTTGGTAGATGCTAACAACATATATCTAATATTGAAACTTCAACATCTGTATTACAAAAGCAAAAGGTAACTATACATTTCATGTAGAAATAAAGGGAGACTAAACATGATAAATTCTAAATACCCACCAGCATCCCACAGATTGTATAGAAAAATCTATCTGGCAGGCAGCTTTATTGTTTTACTGTCTTCCTCTGAATACCCAATGCTCTGTATTAATAAAACACAACACCCACCCACCCAAATTAACTTTTGCTGCTTTGTATTGGTTAGTTACATGGTACAATTAAAATAATCTATTTTCCGATATTTTCTGCCAGCTGTAATTTACCGTCTCCTCCCACATCATTTTTTTTACATCTGTTTAGGCAATTTTCCTTTTCTGAGAATGAGTGATGCTCGTTAAATATGTTCATTTGCATTTTTTTGGTTAATCTGCATTTAGATGCCAACTCATACTGTAGAAAAGATGTCTCTGTTTTAATGTTTGAACTGGCCAAGAATTATAATGACTATTAGACACATTTCAAAACGTATTTCTTTAGAGCTAGCAGAAATAATGACATGAAAATAGGCGGACTGAAGGGAAAATGGCAGCAGCACAGGGAAGACGTTCTGTCTGCCTGTAGAACTGAGTCTAATGTACTGGAGTGCAGCCACCATATTCCAATATAACTTTCAGGCAGTGATAAAGAAGCTGAAGTCATTGAACTGCTATGTAGATTATTCATATCCTGCAATAGCAACTGCTGTTCTCTGATCAAAATTTAAAGGCAAGTTTCCAACCAGAAACAAGAAAGCAGTTTTCCATTCACTTCTGTGGAAGAAACTATGTGCATGTTAATACTTAAAATGCTTGGTCCACCTGTCTACCTTCATTTCCTTTAGTGTTCCCATATGTCTAAGTTGATTTCCAGTTTTATGCTGCAGTTCTGGCATCCAAGCCAAAAAAGTAGAAAGTACAGAAACCATCCCTGTAGAAGGTACAGGAATGACCCTAAGAGGAGTTATGTTGTGTTTGGGTTTATGCGCTAATGGCCTGAGCAAGAAGAAGGCAATGCATGCTCCACAACTGCTTTCCCTCCCTTAGGCAAGCTGGAAGTGTTGTGACTCCGAGACTTGAACCTGATCAATCAGCAGATGTGGGTTCGAGCGAGGAAGAAGATCTGGCACTGAGATTCGAGCCTGCATTATTAAGTGACTTAGAGGGGAGTCAAGTAGAGGAAGAGGAGTTGGATTTGAGAGATGAACCTGATTTATTGGAAGATTCAGAGGCCACTCTCTCCCCTGAACCTACTTCCCTAATTAAACCTCAGGTGTTAACTGTTAATCAGGAAAGTGTGTCGGAGGTTTCAAGCGGAGATGAAACTGCCGGATGCTGGCTGGATGCCAGAACTAGGAGAAGATTGAGACGTCAATCTCAATTAGAAAAGAGACGTCCAGCAAAGGATTAATTAATGAGACTGACACGCCCTCTCTTAGAGGATATAAGAGAGCGCATGACTTTGTAATATTTGCTGGAAACAAAGTGAGTTTTGCCTTGGAAAGTTTTGCGTCTGATTACTGTGTGGTGATTTACGAACTATACAGAATTGCCAGAGAGATTCTAGGAGGATTGCCAAAGGACTGTGATAACAGAGCAATTGAATCTTCTGTCTCTGGTTTTGTAAAGTATTTGAACTATATAACTTGAAGTTTCATCTGTGGATACAGGTGGGACAGAACATGGAAGTATTGGCATTTGGAAGAAGGCAACAATGTAGTCTCCTTCAGAATCATCAATAGTTCTCACCAGCTCATGTAGGTGAGTTGATTGGGCATGCCCTATACCTTCTTCCAGCAGATCAATATTCCTGACCAGTCATGAGGGAAAGAAGTTGATACTGCATACCCTATCACCTCTTTCCCACTTAGACTATCAGTGGTCCTGGTCTTCTTTCATCCTTCCCAGCCATTATTGAGAATTCCTGATACTAGCCAGCCTAGAAGCATTTCAGCCAGTGCTGGGGGAGAAAAGAGAAGAATCCTCAACCCAGTATTGGACAAAGCATTTCCGGACTAGATTGCTTCCAGAATCTTTGCTGAAATCATCCAGTCTTGGACCATTTAACCAGAGGTTGAACTGGGTACTGGATAGCTTCAGAAAATGTCTCTATTCTTTATCTTTGCCCCAACTAACTTGTCTGAAAATAAGAAATAAGCACTTGACTTTGCTTTGCTTCCCTGAAAATTCTGGTTGTCATGATGAACAAAAATAGAAAAGAGAATGAAATTGCAATGAAAAAAATAAGAGTTTCTTTCGTCTTTCCACATGAGATCGTTTAACAGGTGTTTCTAACATATAACGTTTCATTTGTTCCAACCTTGTCCAAACATTTGGGAGGGTTTGTTGCCATTTTTCTAAATTATAATAAGAAGAAATGGTTAAATTAAAATATATGGAGAAGATATGCTCTTTGTTTAGCAAATGGCTAAACTGCTTCCAAAAAGACATCCAGGACTGGTGACCTAATACAATACTTAGAGTAGTGGACAGACCATGTCAACTTAACTGTATCACAGGTTTATTACAAAGCTAAAATACTATTTGGAATATCTTGGAGAAAATGCAATGCAACATCATTTTTAATTGAAAATCAACAGGTAAAGTTTTAATACATCCTGTCAAAACATGGGCAGGGAATCTACAATTTTCTAAATGAAACTACAGTTGCTAGCATTTCTCATCATTGGCCATGCTGGTTTTTCTTGGATGTATCATTTAGTGAATTTTGGAAGCCTACTGGTTGTCATCCCGCTATAGAAAAAAAATCAACCTAAAATTAGTATCATCACTGGACAGTTTTGTTGCATCAAGAATTATGATTCACTAGCAGCTTTTGATTGAGCTGTGAGGTTTGGGGCTGCATATAGTCCTGGATCCCCAGATTATAGCTTTCATTCTAGGATAAAGAATGGCAAATAAGATTAAAGAGCCCAAGTCGTGTGTCCAAAGGGCCTATCTTTTCCCAAGATCACTCTTCTGGCACTTTTCTGGCCAGGGGATTAATTTTTTTTCTTGTGAAAGTAAAAGAACTACATTTCCTCCCCATTCCTGCTGAATTCCTGATATTTATCAAACACTTCTTTCCAGCTGATACTATTGGCATTTTTAAAATAACTTTGGTGCAAAGAAGCTGTTAACTTCACTTTAGTTTGGCAGCAGTTTTACTGCCCAGGGGGTGGTTATTTCTTTTTATGCTTAATTTTGTGTCACAGATTCACCAACTGCCCAGGACTTTGTCTCAAGTTTGGTATTTCCCAGCTGTCAAGGGATGAATGTTTTCTAAAGGGCATAAGTATGATACCACATATGTGTGCATCAGGTGTTTGACTTACTCTATAGCCTGTGGCTTTCACCATCTGCTTCCATTATCTGAACTTTTTTGCTCTGTGGATATGTCATTTGTTATTGCTTGTAACATACGTATAGCCTAAACTATACTATATTAATCTATGGGGTGGGACATGAATTTGTACTGATTAGGCAACAAGAAGTTTTTAAAATCATCTAAATCAGGGAGATTTAATAATTATCTCTTTCTTTATCAATGGACTGTACTGGGAAATGGTCCCACTTAGGTATCAACCTTTTTGAATTTAAAACCTATCATCCTCATCAGATACTGAATATGCAGTAACATTGCAGCTTTAGTGTTAGAAAGGGAGGAAAAACAGGCTAGTTTTGGATAATATTTTGCAGCTGCCAAAACAACTAAAATAACATCCCCAGAATAACTAGATATCCTAAATATCCTACAAGCAAAAAAAAAAAAAAAAAAAAGCCACACACATGTTGCAATTAAAATATCTTCTGGTATTGAAAAATACCAAGTTTCTTCATTGCTTTACTTAACTTTTTAGAGATAGAATGAACATTGGTATAGAGCTCAACAAATGTTTAATATAGTATTTAATGCATGGCTTTAGAACTTTTGTGTATAATTTTACTTGGACCTCCTCTCCTCTCCTCCACCCTGCTGCTCCTATGAGAAACAAGCATTTCCCCCTTATTGTTATAAAAAAATATACAAATGACCTGTACTGAATGGATAGTATGCATATTTTGATGTGGAACTACTGGCTATTACACATTTCACTGAGTGATCTTATTATCGATGTTATCAATTTTGCACATTTGTTTTCCGTCTCATTAAGACATTGTAGCTCTATTGTCAGAAAAGGAGGACAAAACTAGTAGTTATGTTATTCTTTTCTTTCTCCTTACTAAGAGAGAACAAATGAAGATGTAACAACAGGGATCTGCAAGAATCAACAATGAGGAAAGTCATAATTCAGTTGCAGCTCAAATATCTGTATGTAAAAAGCATTGAGTATAATTTCTGATTATACAGATATTGAAAGCAATCCTGTCTGAAACTTCAAAGAGTATCTGTTAGCTTGCACAGACTAGAAATACATATTATTTGTCTGCGCAAATTCAGGTTTTTGACTTTTGCCTGGATGCCAGAGACATCAGGAAAAGAAGTATATACGTGCAAGAAGTAGTGAGTTTCAGGGTAAGGAATATTGAGCTGAAACATCTCTGAATGAGCAGAGATGATGACCATGACTAAGACCGAAGGACCAGTGACCAGACTGGTCTTATGAAAAATCTCCAAATAAGGAGAGGAAGGGAAGTCACCCAGTTGTATTCCAGATGGCTTCTTCTCAGGACACTAGGATAGCAGTTTCCTGTAGGTTTGAGAACCCTAAGATGAAAGGAACCATCATGCTTTCAAGTACATCAAAGCCTTTTAAAATCAGCCCCCCCAACTCCCAGCCCACGGCCCACTATCTGTTTGGAACTAAGATTGGCCAGTGCCTGCGTGCGCACAGCTCAAATTATGTGAGTGGTGGGCTAGTGTACGCATACGCATAGCTTGACTTGCATGTGTGTATGCAGCTCAACTTGTGTGAGTGGGGGGCCAGCACACATGCACGCACCTTGATGTGCAAGTGGGGGGCTGGTGCACATGTACACAGCTTGACTTGTGTGATCAGTGGGCTGGCATGCATGCATGCACAGCTCAACTTGCATGATTGGTGGGCCGGTGTGC